CCCAGGGGTCAGCGAGATCCCAGCCCCAGCACAGGCTGCACAGCAAACCTGGTCTGGGGTGCCCCATGCTTGCTTTTTGCTGTACAAAAGCCTGACCGGAGCTGGCGTCGGTGCCTTGCCGCTGCCCCCAGCTCTGCCCATCGCTGGCTCCCACAGGGCTTGGACCCTGAACAAGCTCATCTTCCCCCCTCTCTCCCAGGCTGGGCATTCTCTTCGCACCACTACTGCCGGCTGTACAGACACTGAAGCTGCTGCTGCTGTTCTATATCAAAAAGGTGCGAGATGCCCACCCTCCCACAGCTCCCCACGCATCCCCGTGATGGGCAGCCCTGCAGTGACACTGTGCCCTGCTGCAGACTGCCTCTGCCACAGCAGAGGTGCCGCACCATGCAGCGAGCAGTGCTGTCCTTGTGGCAGGGAGGAGATGTTGCTGGGGACAGGGTGTCCCCAAGCTCGCCCAGCTCCCAGCAGATGGGAGGGACAGGACGGCAGGGTGGGGGCAGCTGTCCCGCTTGCACTCCTGGGGCCACTTCCCAGGAGACGGCAGCAGCGGGACTCTGCTCCCTGTCTGCAGACCAGCCTGATGCAGAACTGCCAGTCCCCCAGCAAGCCCTGGCAAGCATCTCACATGAGCACTGTCTTCATCACCCTGCTGTGCTTCCCATCCTTCCTGGGTGCAGCCGTCTTCCTCTCCTACACCATCTGGTCGTGAGTACCCGCTGGACCATGGCTCAGGGCGCAGAACTGCTGGCTGCCGGGCAAAGGAGAGGGACATGGGGAGTCAGTGCTTCTCCCATCCTGGCAGCACACTGTGCCCAGCGCAGGGCTGTGCAGTGCTGCCCCAGGCAGAGAGATGCTGCCCAGCTGCTGGTCATTGCACAGAGCATAGCAGCGGTTGGTCTGTGCCCACTTCTCCCAGCTGTTCCCAGATGTTCTTGATGCAGGACAAGGGGATAAGGACCCCCTCGTCCAGCCACCAGGAATGGTTGGGGCAGGCGAGGCTTGGTCCCTGGAGGGATGGACTTCTGAAGCCAGGCAGTGCCCTGGGCTAGGAGTAGTGGCTGGCTGGGCTGCCCATCGCTCTGACTGACCCCATTGCTTGCTCTGCTCAGGGTGCGGCCGTCAGAAACCTGTGGTCCCTTCCAGGGGCTGGAAACCATCTACAAGTCAGGGAAGACCTGGGTGCAAGTGCTGGAGAAGTCCAACCCGAACATCACCTGGTTTGCCTGGGTCCACCAGCACCTGGTGGAGAACACCTTCCTCCTGTTCTTCCTATCCGGGGTCCTGCTGTGAGTACAGACTCGAGCCCAAGGCTGAACCTTGGGCCCACACTTTGAGGGTTCCCCCTGTCACAGCCCTGAGTGGGCGGCTGGGAGCTGGGGTGTCACTCCAGAGCCCTGCACCCCAGCCCAGCACCAGGCATGTAGCATCCCCCGGCTTCCAGCCCTGGCTGCCACCGCCCCGTCCTACCTGTCGTTGCAGAGCCGTGATCTACTTCAACATCCAGGTGGTGAGAGGCCAGCGAAGGATCATCTGCCTGCTGAAGGAGCAGATTGCCAATGTGCGTGAACTCTGCATGCTGTCCCTGGCTGGTCGTGGCAGTCCTGGCTGCTCCACACCCTAGTCCAGCCCTGGGACTGCTGGATTCAGGCTCTAGTCCTGACAGTGCTGCCACCTTGGACGTGCAAGAACCCATCCTGCAGCTGCTCACCGCAATGTCTCTGCTGTTGCAGGAGGGGGAGGATAAAATATTTCTCATTCAGAAGCTTCACTCCGTTTACGAGCAGAGAGACGCACGCACCTGAGTCCCAGGTGAGGACTGCACGAAGAGGGGAGGGGGCTACCAGGGTGCTCGGCACTTGGTACATTCCTCTACTCTGTGCTGGAGTGGGGCCAGTGGGAACACGATGGCAGAGCAGGGCCAGGGCCAGCCCAGCTGCGGCAGAGTGCTGTTTGCTGGGGAGCAGGAAGGTGCAGGGGGTGATGGGGTGAGCCAGGCTTTCCCTGAGGCATTTCCCCTTGCTCTGCTGGCACGGGCGGCAGCGTGGCCGGCTCAGCTGGCCGCTGGGGATGCAGGGCTGAGCATGCTGGGGAGATGCCCACGCTGCCAGGCTGCCCCGGTACCCAGTCTGTGCCAGGGAATGCTGGATCCCTGATGGCACAGTCTGCCAGCAGAGCCAGCACAGGGACAGGGAAGGGGATGGGGACAGGACTGGGACAGAGAACAGGAGGGGGACAGGGACACTTAAGAGAGCCTCCTCTCTGCTTTCAGCGTGGGGCAGTGCTGTCTGCCCCTGGCAGCAGACCCTCAGGGTCTCGGGGACTGTATCTCTTCTCTTCATGTCACACTCACTAGGAAGGAGCGGGACACGACAGGACTCTGCTTACAGCCAGGGACTGGATCCAGACATCTTTCTGAGCTACTGTGGCGTGGCGCTGGAAGCAGCAGGACCCTGGGGTGCTGGGGAAGATCCGCTTCTCTGGGTTGCAGCGGCCAAGGACCCATTGGGGCACATTGTCTGGAAGCTGTGTGGTGATGCTGTGACACAGGGACATGGGTGCTCCCACTGCCCAGAGCTGCTGGGGCACAGCAGGACCAGGGCCAGGATGGCCGTCACAACCCACAGCATAGCTCCGCATGGGGCTGGCTCACCAGCAGACCCTTTCTCTGTGGGTGGTTACTGTTAGCAGAAAAGAACTCTCCCTCCTGTGAACACCCCAGCCAGCCCAGAAAACAGCTTTAGGCTGTTTGCAGAAGCATTCAGGGACAGTGATGTGTTCTGGCTGGAGAGAACATGCAACCCCCTTTGCACTGCCCAGGAGTAGCGAGGCTGGAGCTGCCAGGCATCGACTGAACTCCAGCCCCATGTCCAACTTTCCAGGAGAGCAGCTGGCCAAGACCTTCCCCACAACCAAGGCACCTGCTGCCCCCCCCCCAGACCAAGTAGCCCTGCGGGATGCTGCGCTTGCCATCGGCATGTGCTCAGGAAAACCACCGCGGTGCCAAGTGCACCCAAAGGCTCTGGTTCCCCCACTGCAGGCTGACCTGGCCCATTAAAGCGTAGCTGTGCAGGAGGGCTCCCAGCCTGTGTCTGGACCTGTCGGGCTGGAAGCAGGCAAGCGGGTTTGGTGTGTTAGCGTGTGTTCGTTAGGGCTAGTGCCTCAGCAGCCATGGCAGGGTGTGCTCGGGCTCCTCGGCACTGCCTGCCTGCCCGCCCGCCCATCGGGCTACCCCAAGAAGAGCCCAGCTCAGCCTGTGCCATGGGAGCAAGGACCACTGCCACCTCATCCCATGCGGCCCCAGGAGCCGCTCACCATCATGGTGTGATGTCCCCAGCAGCCACTCCCCATTGCAGCACAGTGTCTGCAGCCCCAGACCTGGAAAGCCAGTTGCCCCTGTGGCACGGCACTGACAGACCCAGGGAGGGTTGTACTGAGGTGTGTGCCAGGCCCAGGCAGCCACAAGTACCCCTGTGACTTGGTAGTTACGCTGCTGGGTGACGCAGCTGCCTGCCTCGCTGGGCAATGGGCTGGGCTGTCAGCACAGGCACAGGATGGGTTATTGGCGTGGGCACGGGTCTGCACAGACCCACTTGTTCTCTGAGCCCGAGCAAGTGCTGCAGAGCAGCCATGGGCATTTGCTGCAGCTCGTGATATATCCCTGACCCTGGCATCCCTGCAGCTCAGTCTGCCTCAGCTCCTGACACCCACCCAAGTCCCCTGCAATCCTTCCCTGGGTCATCCCACAGGGCCAAAATTGCCGGCAGCAGCCCCACACACTCAGCCT